TCCAGCTCCTGCCTCCAGGTTCCTGCCCTGAGTTCCTACCTTGGGCTCCTGGATGAACTGTGACCCAGGATATGTAAGTTAAATAAACCCTTTCCTTCCCAAGTTGATACTGGTCAGAGTGTTTTGTCACAGCAATGGAGAAACAAAGTAGGGTAGTGTAGCTGTACATTTCCATAGTTATACCTTCATTAATTTTGTTTCTGTAACCCCTTGGGTATAGTAGTTCCTTTCTTCAGCTCTTTGTATTGCTTTAAGAACTCTCTGAAGCACTGGTTTTGTGGACATGAATTCTTTCTGCCTATTTATGTCATGGAAGATTTTTCTTTCACCCTTTGACGAGATATTTTTGCTGGGTAAATTAATCTGTGTTGGCGTCTGGAGTCATTTAGTATTGGGACTACTTTGGTCCAGGCTCTTCTGGCTTTCATGGTTTGCACTGAAAAGTCAGCTGTAATTCTGATGGGTTTTCCTTTATATGTGACTTGTTGTTTTTCTTTGCAGCTTTCAGTAGTCTCTCTTTGTTCTGTACATTTAATTGTTTTACTATGATGTTCCATGGGTAGTTTCTTTTCTGGTCCTGTCTCTTTGGTGTTCTATATGCTTTTTGTATCACTATGGGCGTGTCTTTCTTTAACTTTGGGAAAATTTCTTCTCCACTTCTGTTGAAGATCTGGTCCATATCATTATCCTGAGATTCTTCTCCTTCTTGATTGCCTATGATTCATAAGTTTGGTATTTTTATGGTGTCCCACAATTCCTGCATACTCCATTCTTGTGATTTCTTAAATTTTTCATAGTCTTTGCTTGAGTGTTCTAATTCATCCACTTTATTTTCCAGTATTGATATTCTGTTTTCCATTTCATTCATCCTATTGGTGAGGCTTTCTCCTGTCATTTATAATTGGCTTACTGAATGTTTTACTTCCTTCTTCATTTCACCCTGAGTATTCTTCAATATTTCTAACTCTTTTCTGAATTCATTCAGAAGTTTATCCCTATCTTCTTTCAGTTTTTTTATTTTGTTTGTGTGTTCTTTAAATTCACTGAATTCTTTTTGATGTTTATAATTGTTCTTTTGAGTTCCATGTCCTGTGTTATCTCTAGGGGGTTCTCATTGTACTCTTCTACAGGACTATTGGTACTTGATAGGGCTATATTATTTTGGTTTTACATTTTATTATATTTTCTCTGTGACTTTGACACATGTATTTCTTTTGTATTTTCTGACTCTTGTGCAAGACTCAAGCCTTCTTTTGTTGAGTTTAGGTCTGCTTCTTTTTGTATACTTTATGTGCCTTTGTGGTTTACTTATTGGACATGAAAAGCTGGTTGTTCTAGGCTTCAGTTTCCTCCTTTTGATTTTATATAGGAGTGGTCAAATTGCTTTCATCTTGCTGCTCAGGAGTTTCCACAGAGGCCCAAGTTAGATGAGGATCAGATGCTCTCAGGCTTTCTCCTAAGGTCTGGATCCCTCCAGGAAAGATGTTGGCCTCAGGAATTTGAGGTCTGGGCTGGCCTGGGAGGAGGAAAGATGATGGGCCCAGGAAGCTGGTCGCTGTGTCACTCAGAGATGCAAAGGGAGGTGGGGGAGAAAAGAGGCCTGAGGTCTCCTGGGGATTCAGGGAGGAATTGGGTTGGTCTGGAATTGCAAAGGATCAGGAAGCAGTGGGTATTCTGGGATAAGAGGTCAGTTCAGGGGTCTGGGGTGCTAAGAAAAGAAATGGGCCAGTACCCAGGCTAGCAGGAGAAATGGGATGGGGAGCTGGGAGAGTAAATGAGTCTGGAAGAGTCAAGAGGCAGTGGACACTGACAAACTTATCCAGGTATGCTGCTGGCTCCAGGAACCCAAATTTGGTTTTCTATCAATTTTTTCTTTGGGAATTTGGGTTCAACATAAATCTTGCTACATATTTCTTTGAGTAACCCAAATAGACCATTTCTTCTGTCTCATCTTTTTTATATCTCTTGTAAGGTGTTCTGTTATTCTACATGCTGGTCTGAGTCACTTAGATCTGCTAAAGGCTCTTCACTTTACAAATATTCTGTCACATTAAAGGACTTAGCAAAACCATTAAAGCTTTATACCATTGTCAAGGTCCCAGGTGAATTAAGTGCTCCTTTATATCTCTGGTGAACATAGCCGTTACTGGCCAGCAAACTGGGCATCATATGTTGTTTTTGTCATACGTAGTTCATCAGTAGTGCTTGTCCCTCTTTTATAGTTCTCCAGCCCCTGTTAATTATGGGAATTTCTCTTGGTGATTACTGTGTGTCTTTAATGCCTTGTACTAGCCATCCCATTAAGGACTGCTCCCCACTGTGTTGGCCTAGGTTGAACAGCCTATGTTGCAAGGATGGATGGGTGGTTTTATAACTCAGCTGTGAAACTTCTGAAGGACTTAGACTGACATCATTTGCTCCCATTCCCATACCCTCATAAGACATGTGGTGCAAGATTCTTTAATTTCTTGTTTGTAGCTCTTTTCTTAGTTTCAACAGGTATGGAATATTTTCTCCTAGCTATAGTCCTGTTAACTTTTTTCACTATTTTTTTTTTTTTATCAAAGGTTGAATATAAGGGCAGCTTTAGCTACTTTTATTTCTAGGTTGTTTCTTTTTTTACTACTATCTGTCTTTTCCCCTGGGTCCTTGGACTCCTGGTCCCCTACCTTATACAAGTTAAAATCTTTCTTTTTTTTTTTTTTCACTCTCTCAAGCTCTGAGGCTGAGACTGAATTTGCCAGTAACTCCTTAACCTTTTTAGCCTCCCCTGAGGCTGTCTTTGTCTCAGACAAATCTTTTATTATCCAAAGTGGTCATGCCCTCTCTCTGGAATCTGGACTCAAAGGGGAAAATCCTGGGCCAAAGCTCTGTGTAAATATAAGGAAATAGTTCAATTACTTGAATATGAAAATTCCTTAAAGACCATAGAGAGACTAGAGAAAATGTTCCAAGCCGTGGAAGCAAGTGCCACTATAGTATGACTGAATTTATGAGCTCTCTCTCTCTGTGTTCAGAGAGTTCACAGCAAATACTCAAAAAATGGCAGGACCAGCTTCTGCTTTTCTATATAGATGGCAACAGACCCTACAAATAAAACAATCCTATCTATATTCTACCAGAAAAGAAAGTACCCCGTAACACTAAAATTTTCATTTAAGATAAAAACTCGAGGATGGAGAGATGGCTCAGCGATTAAAAGCATTGACTGCTCTTGCAGAGGACTCAGGTTCAATTCCCAACACCCATTTGGTGGCTAACAACCATCTATAACTCCAGTTCCAGGAGATCCAATGCTTTCTTCTGACCTCCACAAGCATTGCACAACATGGGTGCACTTATACACATGCAGGCAATACACTCACATAAAATAAAGAAATAATAATGAAAAGCTGAAAACTCATGTTTCATATCTTCAAATATAATACCCCCTTGAAATATTATTAGTAACCTTATAAAAAATTATGTGCTTATATCTGTAATAAGTAGCCATTTGCCTAGATATGGGAAGCTTTTATTTTTTTTTTCAATCTTCAGATTATAATACTAGTGAACAAAAACAAGCCTGCAAGAAACATGAACTCTATGTGAGCTTCCGAGATCTGGGATGGCAGGTAAGAATGCTCAACTCAGACGCTTCTTTTCTATTTTATCTTAAACCCTTAGGAAGTCATTATGGTCCTTAGTAATTGTTCCAATATAATGATCATTTTTGAAAGACTATTCAGGGCATGGTTCACATTTATAATACGTAAGGCATTATATTTCACTATTGAAACATAGTGAGTTGAGTTTAAACTCAAAAACAACTACCTGAGGAAATATAAGTCTTATATTTAAGAATGGAAAAAAATAATGCTTTCATTTAAATATTCAAATTTTTGATTTCTTTAGTTTGAGTCAGAGTCTCACTATGTAGTCCAGGATGGACTTGAATATGGGCTTTGGCTCTCACAGCCTCACATGTACTAAGATTACAGACATGTGACATCATGGCCAGCATATATCATAAACATTTATTTATTTACTTATTTAGTTTGTGCGTGAGGATATTTATGGGTGCACATGTCTATGCATGGGTGTGGACCAGCAGTGGACATTAGGTGTCCTGCATTATCACTTTCCGCTTAATTCTTTAAGACAGGGTCCCTCACTGAAAATGGAATTTACTGTTTTTTTCAGCTAGACTAGCAGTTGGCAAGGGCCAATGATTCTTCTGTCTCTCCACTTTCTGACCCCTCCATAGACCTGGGTTTACAAACACACATGGAAGACACACCCCACCTATTTTTATTTTTTACCTGTGTGCTGGGAATTCAGCTGGGTTTTCATGCTTGCCCAGAAAGTACTCTTACTCAGCCATTTCCACAGTACCCTCCCCCTGCTAAAAAAAAAAAAAACACCTTTCAATTTTAAGATGGAAAATTTGTTTGAATTAGTGTACCCAACAGCTGCCTTGGGGGTCATAACTCTGTCTAAGAAACAGAACTACCAACTATAATGTCTATGTCATGAGCTGGATGTACACAAAACCTCATATCATTATTGTTTTCCAATATGCTTCACAAATAAGGTGAAGAGATTTCAGCCAAAATAGTTTTTAGTAGCTCCTAGAATGTTAACATGAAATTTTCATATTTCTTCTAATATCCCATTACAATAAAATATCAGTAGATGAGCCACCTTATGCTATTATAGTCACAACCTTAAGATAATATTAAATATCAAGATAAAATATATGTTCAATTTTTATGATAAACTTTCATTGTGGATAATTTGATAATTCTTATATTTATGCCAAGTTTTGTTTCTCTAGGGGAAAATCAGGGCAACTATTCCACAGGCCACTTTTTAGCTGCCTAAAATTTTTCATGTGAAGTTTTTAGGAATTTGCTCCAGTTCATTTATTATAAGAAGACTGTAAAATTAATGTAAGAATGAAAAGAAAAACAGGAGATGGAATAGACAGACAGTAAACCTTTATGGGTTTACAAGACTTTTAAAACTAGGAATGAATGGCTGGGCATGGTGACACATGACTTACAGGTCTACATAGTGAGAGTTCAGAGCAGCTGGAGCTACAGGAAGTCCTTGTGTCAAAAAGACCAAGAAACAAACGAACCACCCCAAAACAAACAAACAAACCACCCCCAAAACAAACAAAATAACTAGGAATGAGTTATCAAAAAGTAAGAGAATTAGATCAATTAAGTACTCCTCTATCCTTTTGGATTCACTTGAATGTCCCAGAATTGATCATTTCTAGTTTAAACAATATTTAGAATGCTATTTCAGGATTATAGCTTTCTTCTTAAACACAGATGGATTAATGCATATTATAAATATTTTATATGGCTACCCCTTAGGAGAAGTTAGGTAGGACAACTTGTGAAAATATTTATAATGTTACTGTTACTACAAACCTCAATTAAAAATTGAACAGTATAGGAGAAAATTGCTGGACTAAGAAAAGAAGCATTTATATAATTGAATACTCTTCAAGAATTATCTGTCTTTGTTGTTATTTAGCTGATATTATTTTTCTTGTTTTATGCATTTCAGGACTGGATTATAGCACCTGAAGGATATGCTGCATTTTATTGTGATGGAGAATGTTCTTTTCCACTTAATGCCCATATGAATGCCACGAATCATGCCATAGTCCAGACCCTGGTATGTCCTGCTCTTGAAAGATAGAGAATGGTTATAATGCAAACACTATATAAAGTTAATTTAAAGAAAATGCACATCCATCAACCTTGGGTTCTCAGATTCCCTTTTAGCACATGTAGCTGGGTTAATTACTGTGAGCTTAAATCAATAATCCTGGTTTTAGAATGGGGAAGGATTCAACAAGGAAATTGAAAGAACCAAATAAATGCCATTCTGCAAAGATTTCGTTACTACACAGTAACCAACCGGACAGATTTGCAGAGGCTTTTTTAACCTAACAGTTGACTAGTAGTCATTGCTGAAACACCAAAAAGTAGCTGTACTAAATTCCATCTAAGAGCTTTGGATTTAATTATTTAAGGATGGTCTATGATATGCTCTGGTATTATGTTATTTAATATGCTATATAAGTAATAATTTCTAATTTTTATTTCTTCTCCTTCTCCTCTGCTTTTCTTCTCTCCTTGTTGTTTTGACAGGGTCTCCCTAGTCCCAGTCTTTCTGGAAGCTACTAGGCAAACCAGGCTGGCCTCAATCTCACAGAGATTCCCCCTGCCTCTGCCTGATAAGGGCCAGGATTAAAGCCACATGTCACTACGCCCAGCTCTATCTGTCATTTTTTTACAAAATTATTTATTTAATAACCATATAATTAGAAGAAGTATTTCATTACAACATCATTGACATATTCAATAACAATTTCCAGAGCTAAGATGCATCTCTTTCAAACCTGGCTGTAAATTTTTAGGTTTAC